CAAAAGTGTGATTCTGACCTGAATCCTTTTGGGACAATTGGCAGAATCTGAATGGTGTCTGAGAATTGGGTATTAGTAATACAAATGTTAATTTTCTGATTTCCTTGAATACCCGCACCAAGGGATTTTGGAAATAATTGACATGCATTACTGTACAAATTTAAGGGGGTAGAGCATGGTGGCTTGGTTAACACACGTTGTGAAATGATTACTACAATAGGTTTAGTTAACATCCATCATTTCATATGGATACAATGGAAAGAAAAAAAAAATTTCTCCTATGATGAGAACTCTTAAAGATCAGTTTGTGTTTCTCATATATCAGCGTTAACAATAGTCATCATGTTGTACATCACACCCCTAGTATGAATTTATCTTACAACTAAAAGTTTACAGCTTTTGACCACATTTATCCAGTTTCCCTTTCCCCTGTGCCCTGCATCTGGTAACATAAATCTGAACTCTTTTTTCTTTGAATTTGGTGAGTTTTGTTTTTTGCTTTTTTGATATTCCACAAACAAGTGAGATCATACAGTAGTTGTCTCTGTCTGACTTATATCACTTAGTATAGTGCCCTTAAGCTTCATCCATCTTGTCACAAATGGTAGGATTTCCTTGTTTTTTTTTTTTAAATGACTGAGTAATATGCATTATTATGGATATTCATTGGAAGGACTGATGCTGAAGCTGAAACTCCAATACTTTGGCCACCTGATGCGAAGAACTGACTCATTGGAAAAGATCCTGATGCTGGGAAAGATTGAAGGCGGGAGGAGAGGGGATGACAGAAGATGAGATGGTTGAATGGCATCACCGACTCAATGGACATGAGTTTGAGTAATCTCTGGGAGTTGGTGATGGACAGGGAGGCCTGGTATGCTGCAGTCCACTGGGTCGCAAAGAGCTGGACCCGACTGAGTGACTGAACTGAACTGAATAGACATTATATCGGTGTATACCACAATGTCTTTATCCATTTATCCATTGACAGACACTTGGGTTGTTTCCATGTCTTGGCTATTATAAATAATGCTGCTGTAAACATTGGGGTGCAAACATCTTTTCAATTTAGTGTTTTTGTTCCTTTTAGATATACTCCCAGAAGTGGAATTGCCAGAGCTTATGGCAGTTCTGTTTTTAATTATTTTGAGGATCCTCTGTACTTGTTTCCATAGTGGCTGCACCAATTCACATTCCTGCCAACAGTGTTTAAGAGTTCCCTTTGCTCTACATCCGCACCAATACTTGTTATTTTTTGTCTTTTTGATGATGGCCATTTTGACAGGTGTGAGGCGATATCTTACTATAGTTTTAATTTGTATTTCCCTAATGCTTAGTGATGTTGAACATCTTCTCATGTGTGTGTTGGCCTTTCATGTATCTCTAAAGGAGAAAATGGGAAAATGTTCTTCAGACCCTTTGCCCATTTAAAAATTGGCATATTTTTAAATTTTTCTATTGAGTTTTTTATGTATTTTGGATATTAGCCCTTTATCAGATAGCCAGTTTGCAAATATTTTTCCCCATTACATAAGTTGTGTTTTCACTTCATAGATGGTTTCTTTTGCAGTACCAAAGCTTTTTAATTTGATGTAGTCCTACTTGTTTATTTTTTATTTTGCTGCTTATGCTAATTTCCTCTAATTTTGATGATTATATTAAAGTTATATAGAATGTCTTTGTTTGCAGAAATTACACATGTAGGTATTGAGTTGGCCAAAAAGCGTCTTTGCAGTTTTTCATAACATTTCTTGACCATAAACTGAAGGAACTTTTTGGCCAACCAAGTAGTTGGGAATAATGGGTAATATGTCAATAATGTACTTTCAAATTGTTTAGGAAAAGAAGCCTTTATGGTGTGCCTCCATCTTTCTATAAGCTTGAATTTATTTAAAAAGAAAAAGACCTGAACCTTAGGGGTCTACTTAACACAATCAATAGAATGTTACATTAGGAATATTTGTACTACTTGGGGATAGTGGGGTGTGTGTGTCTGTGTGTGTGTGTGTGTCTGTGTGTGTGTCTGTGTGTGTGTGTGTGTGAGTGTTGGCTGCCATTGTGCATTTGTAACTAACACCAAATCACTACTGATGGCCTGACATTCATACTTCAAAACTTTCTGGAGCCAAATGTTCTGCTCTTTCGGGAGCTTTTGACTTTTGTGGCTCATTTGCAAGTTCCATTATAGTGTGTGTAAATTCCCATAGTTGATGTGGCAATTGTATGTATAAGATCTCTAAAGTCTCTGACTTACAATTAATTTTTAATTTTCTATTGTTCCTGGTACTATGAGATTCAGGGCCATAGGATGGTCTGAATTTAAAACAGATTATAAAATATTTTAGCACTTGAATGAAGACTAAGGACATGCAAGGATTTTTCTTTTCTAAGCTCTTCTGTGTCATTCCTTCTCTAATATATTATTTTTAGGGAAATGTGACACATTTGTATGAAATGGTTTTCCTAGGAATCATGAATCAAGCTAGTGGAAACAGTAAACAGTGCCTGTTCCATACATTCTAACCAGCAGCTCTCTTTCCCTTTACGCTTTCCTAAAATTGTCCCTGGCAATTACTCTGTAGTCATGAATAAGAAAACTCATACAGGGGGTTGCAGGATCCTTGCCTGCACACCTACCCTGGTGGGAGGGAAGCAACTGCAGAAAGGTCGGGCCTTAAAGTAACTCAGCTCTGATCCTCTCCCTCCTCATCCATCACGGATCCCCTGGGCCGGCCATGCTTCAGGAGGGTAATGCGCCTGGGAGGCAGTGATGAAGGAGGCACTTCTGGGTTCTTTAAGGAGCCCTGAAATGGGAGGAGGAGAACCTGCTTCACTAGCAATTTATTAATAAGTATATGCTACCAGCTTCCATCAGATACCAAAGGAGGAAAACAGTTAAAAAACAAACAACAAAAAAAACTAAGATCATGGCATCCAGTCCTGCAAATAGATGGAGAAAAAGTGGAAACAGTGACAGATTTTATTTTCTTGGACTGCAAAATCACTGCAGATGGTGACTGAAGCCACAAAATTAAAAGACACTTGCTGCTTGAAAGAAAAGCTATGACAAACGTAGACAGCATATTAAAAAGCAGAGACATTACTTTGCCGACAAAGGTCTATCAAAGATCTTCCAGTAGTCATGTACGGATGTGAGAGTTGGACCATAAAGAAGGCTGAGTGCCACAGAACTGATGCTCTTGAAGTGTGGTGCTGGGGAAGACTCCTGAGAGTCGCTTGGACTGCAAGAAAATCAAACCAGTCAAACCTAAAGGAAATCCACCCTGAATATTCATTGGAAGGACTGATGCTGAAGCTGAAGCTCCAACACTTTGGCCCCCTGATGTGAGGAGCCTACTCATTAGAAAAGACCCGGATCCTGGAAAATATTGGCGGTGGGAGGAGAAGGGGATGACAGAGGATGGGATGGTTGGATGGCATCACTGACTCAATGAACACGGGTTTGAGTAAGCTCAGGAGTTGGTGATGGACAGGGAGGCCTTGCGTGCTGCAGTCCACGGGGTCACGAACTGTCCGACATGACTTAGTGACTGGACGACAACAGGGTGAAGGAAGTCCTCAGAGGAGAGGTGTTGTCGAGGAGTAGCTGCCATTTGTCCCTGAAGGAGACGGTGGTCACAGGGAGAAGGAAAAGTGGGGGACAAGGCCAGAGGTCTGGAGGTGAGTCCTCCTCTGAGCTGGCGGAGGTGGGGGCTGCTGGGAGCACAGCGGTCTCGGCAGGGAGAAAACGGCCAGTGGGAGGGGCCTGGGGGCCCCGTGGGCAGAGCATTCAAAAAAGAAACAGACAGCGACCACCCCCCTTTGTGGACTTGGAGAGTGGACCTCCGTCCTACTAGCAATGGGGTGTCTGGGGGCAGGCTTGCAAGAGGTGACGGGGCTCTGTGGTTATGGAGAGGAAGGAGGGGTCTGGTGGAAGAAGGGGTCTCCCCGTCCACTCAGCTCCGCTCAGTGCTGCCTCTCCTCCTGGCCCCAATTCCCACAAGTTCTAGAACCCACCTGTCTTTAGTTGTCTTCAGGTTACTTCCCTAGTGTTGGACTTGCCAGGAGTGAGGGCTGCACAGATCTGCCCCGACCCTCGACCCAAAGAACTGAGGAAGCCAGAAGACTCAGGGTCTAGGAAAGAAGCTTTGCAGTGGCCAAGAGGCCCTGGGCGCCTGGTAAAGAGGAGTTTGGGGGTAGGAAGCTCCAATTTTCTTCCAAATGAGAGTGTTAGTTGCTCAGTCACATCAGACTCTTTGCAACCCCATAGACTGTAGCCCTCCATGGTCCTCTATCCGTGGAATTCTCCAGGCAAGAGCATTGGAGTGGGTTGCCATTTCCTTCTCAAGGGCATCTTCCAAATGAGGGATTGAACCTGGGTCTCCTAAGTTGGCAGCCTGGTCCTTTGCTGTCTGAGCTACCAGGGGAGCCCATGGTGAATACTTATCCTATGATCCTCTTGTCTTTGCCCCGAGACCTGGCCCTTTACCATGGACAAGCTGTCCTCAGATAATATTCTAGTTTAAGGGTGTTGGATTGGGAAAGGAGAATGAAGCCAGGATCTTTGCTGTGGCTCATTGTCCAAAGCCAGAGTCTGCCATCAACAAGTTGGCATTTCCCTGAGTTCCTGAGGTCTCAGACCCAGCCGGCATGTCTTTCAGGACAACTCAAGGCCTGGCTCGTCCCCAGCTTCCCAGCATCTGACCTGTTCGGCTTGGAAGGATGCCTGGAGCAGTCATGGTGCCCAGACAAAATGATCGATAACCTTCCTAGATAAGTGTTCACCTTGGAAGGTAGTTCCCTGGGGAAGTGGAGGGGCAGAGTCTTGAAACTTCTCAGGATGCTGGCTCAGGGCTTGGGGGCCTTAGCTTTTCAAGCTCTGTGGCTAGAAATCACCACGATCACAACAGAAGCAGATGAGTCTCCAGCATCTGAAAACTGGTGGCCTTATTTCTAACATCCTTCCAGTGTGAGGACCAACCAATCTGTTCCTGTTTCAGGCAACCCAATCCTTCTATTATGGATGTGGAAGGAAGCCCCAGTCGTGGTTTTATCGCCTGGCACATGGGGGATTATGAGGACACCAGCCAAAGAAACTCCAAACGGGCCGTCCTCCTCCGACAGAGCAAGGCAGCCCTGCCGATAGCGTCCAGACCGCCGAAGCTGCCGAAGCTACCGAAAAAGGAGGAGGTATGGATCGTTATGGAGAAAGAAATGGCAACCCACTCCGGCACTCTTGCCTGGAGAATTCCATGGATAGAGGAGCCTGGTGGGCTACGGTCCACAGGATCGCAAAGATAACTTTCACTTTTCACTTTCATGGGTCATTAGCTTTTCTGAGTCATTCTGGAAAAGGCTAAGCTGTTTTAACATATGACTTACTGCTGTTTATAGTAATGGGCTTCTTTAGTGGCTCAAATGGTGAAGTATCCACCTGCCAATGCAGGAGACCTGGGTTCAATTTCTGGCTAGAGAAGATCCTCTGGAGAAGGGAATGGCCTCCCACTCTAGTATTCTTGCCTGGAGAATCCCATGGACAGAGGAGCCTGGCGGGCTATAGTCCGTGGGGTGGCAAAGAGTAAGACACGACTACAATTTCACTTTCTTTTTTACTTTTCATTTAATAGTAATACTACAAATAATCGATTTTATCACTCTTTTCAACCTATCAAAATGTTTTGTAATTCATATCGATTTCCACAGTAATGTCTATATAGGTGAGTATTATTCCAATTTTACACAAGAGGTGTGGCTTAGTCCTTAGAACCACTTATATATCGTATGGTTTAACCTAGAGAGCATAGCCATCTGCTTGGTTTCCAAAACCTGAGAAACCTCTCAGTCTGTGAAATGAGGTCAATCTATAACCAATCCTTAAAACCCCACAGATTGGTCAACAGAGTTCCCAGTTCAGATTCAAGGTTTTCTCCCCATTACTGTCTGAATGTTAAACAAGTTGCATAATTTCCCAATATGGGTTTTTTCATTCATAAAATGGGGATGTTTTTATCTGTCCTGAATGTTTTGTAGAGCTACCAGGAGAGTCAGGAGGAGAGTGTGTAAGCATATATTCAGACGAACAACCATTTCCTGATGTCCTCCTGCATCATCCCACAGCAGATCCTCTCTGTAGTCATTTCAGTATGGAGTGTGGCAAGAACCTTTCCTGATAGAAGAAGCACTAGCTCAGATACACTGCCACTCCTGTTCTCTACCAGGAGAGAGGCTGCTTGCCCCCACTGGAGAATCTTGCCACTGCCCTAGAATATTGCTTTCCCTTTGGCACCAGAGATCTGTTCATCAGGAGTTGTCTGTGTGACAATTAATTATATATCCATCTGAAACACTCTGTGAGGAACCAAGGAAGTCCTCAGTAGGTCCTGCCCCAGGGATGCTCTGAATTGAAGAAGGGAGCTTTTGGCTGCTGACATTCCTATGTGGTCTGAATTTTGAGCTGGGTCCAAGTGAGATTTATTGCAGTGTGTGTGAAAGAGGCTTTAATTCATTATTTTCTACCAGTGAATTAATTTTGTATAGAACTAGCGTGATCATGGAATGATCCCAAATGCATCCTACTAAATCCAATTGAGATGCTTTTATGCATTAAAAAAAAATCTGTTGAAAGACTGACTTTGGAATGATTTCAAGCTTACAGAAGAGGTGCAAGAACAGTACAAAGTGAACCGATACACTCCTCACCCAGAATTGTTGGTTGGTAATTTTATTTGCTCTAATGTTTTCTTTCTACACAGACACACACACACACACACACACTTTTGTTTTTACCGAACCATTTGAAAGTAAGTTGCAGACATGGTTTTGCTTTACCTCTGAAGATTTCAGGGTGCATTTCCTAAGAATGAGGGGGTTCTCACACATAACCATGGTACAATGATAAGGTATAGCAAACTTAGCACTGATACAGTGTTACCTAATCAGTTCATAACCAAATTTTATTAGTTGACCCAGCGGTGCTCTTTGTCATGTTCCCTGACGAAGTGTTTGATTCAGGATTAGCTCTTATGTTTAGTTCTCAAGCCTCACAGCCTGCTTTAGTTAGGAACAGCTCCTCAGCCTTGGTCTTTCATGACACTGATGTTCTTGAAGGAGTCAGACCAGTTCTGTGGAATTCCTTTTAATTCAGGTATACCTGGTATTTCCTTGGGTGATATGTTTCAGGCAGGAATCCCAAGGTGAGTGTTCATGTCATCTGCAGGGTATCACATCACAGAGTACTTGACTCATCATTGGTGATGGTAACTGATCACTTGGTTAAACCTCTTCCCTTCCAGAGATAAACAAAATATTACATCATTCAAAATAACCTTTTTTATCAGCCATGATTTTTTTGTAAATTCCAGAGATACCTTAGAAACATTTTCCCCAAGGTCTTTCTTTGGATGATCCCCCCAGGGTTTTTGTGGGTGATACTTCCATAAGTACTCAAGCCCTTTTCCCACCTGACATAAATTCTCTTCAGGGAAAATAGGTTGGAGCAAATTATAAATTCAAGCTTCCAAAGTAAGCCTCACACCAGTCACCTGTGTGTGGCTCCTATTACCGTACTCACCTGAGATGCAGCCCACTTGCCATCCTTATGTTGTGAGAACCAAGACTATGCCCTGGAAGCAGCCTTGGAAAAACAAAACTTTGTCAATAGTACTGGGAGACTTGGGGGGACATTTTAAACACAAAAACCTATACACAACATCACAATGCTTTCTTATCAAGATAGATAGCTGAAAATGGGGACATTTTATATTCATGTTCTAAAGTTTGAATTTATACCTATAAACCCAAGTACAGAGATTAATTTCTAAATGTTTCTAAAAGTGCAATTTATTATATATAACAGTATGTACCATTCTTGTATATAATACCCAAAATGCTTGTACAAATATTTTTGGAAATCAGTTGCACAAATTTCTAAACTATCTCTTCCATGCTATGCTGTGCTAAGTTGCTTCAGTTATTGGAGCAACTTCAGTCAAGTTGCAACCCATGAACTGTAGCCCGCCAGGCTCCTCTGTCCATGGAATTCTCCAGGCAAGAATACTGGAGTGGGCTGCCGTTTCCTTCTCCACGGGATCTTCTCAACCCAGAGATCAAACTCTCCTCTCTTATGCTTCCTGCTTTGCAGGTGGGTTCTTTACCACTAGCGCCACCTACATTTCCCCAAATTTCTTATTTTAAATCACAAAATATGTCTCAAGTCCTACCATCTATTACATTCGTTGTTTTCCTTTCTTGCTTTTTGGTTGACATTATTTTCTCCACATAAATAATAGCTACTTAAGTGTTGTGGAACCTCTGTGTATATGACAGACACTTTCAACATTGTCATCCACTTCTATAGCATTTCTTTGCTTGCAAATATCTTCACTGCTCCCCTTCCCTCCAAAACATGGACATAATCTCAGGGATTGGTACGTTCTTTCCCTTGCCCACTCACTCACATTGGATGTGGGAGTAGTGATTTTCACATTTTAATATGCATATGCATCATCTGGGGTCTTCCCAGGTGGCTGAGATGGTAAAGAATCCACCTGCAATGCAGGAGACCTGGGTTTGACCCTTGGGTTGGGAAGATGCCCTGGAGGAGGGCATGGCAACCCACTCCAGTATTCTTGCCTGGAGAATCCTCATGGACAGAGGAGCCTGGAGGGCTACAGTCCATGGAATTGCAAAGAGTTGGACACGACTGAACGACTAAGCACAACATACACACACACACATGCGCGTCGTCTGGAAATCACAGTAAGCTCAGATTCTGATTCAGTCTGTCTGGGATGGGGCTTGAGGTTCTTCACAGTCAGGGACCCTGAGGTGCTGGAGGATTCACCACCCCAAGCTGCATTTTGAGTCACAGCAGGAGCAAGGGGAAGTGGGAGACCAGGATGAAGGATTAACAGGGCGCAGGCAGTGATCAGCTAGTGCCTTTGGGAAGGGCTCGGAGTCCGACTTTGCAGGCAGCTGAGTAACCAACTGCCTGCAAAGTCGGGGGTGGGAGTGGGTGCTCAGTGGTGAGGCCAGAGGAGGCAGATCAGGTGCTGAGGAGCTTGGATTTTCCTGGACCAACTTTCTTTTTTTAATTAATTTTTATTGGAGTATAGTTGCTTTACAATGTTGTGTTAGTTGCTGCTGTGGAGCAAAGTGAATCAGTCACACGTATACTTAGATTCCCTCTGTTCTGGATTCCCTTCCCACTTAGGTCACCTCAGAGCGCTGAGTAGAGTTCCCTGAGCAACACAGCAGGTTCTCATTAGTTATCTATCTTACACATCAATAAGTCAATCCCAATCACCCAATTTATCCTTCTCCCTCTTTCCCTCTGGGTATCCGTAAGTTTGTTCTCTGTGTCTATGTCTCTATTTCTGCTTTGCAAATAAGCTCAGCTGTGCCATTTTCCTAGATTCCACATACAAGCAATATTATATATTTGTTTTTCTCTTTCTGACGTATCTACTGTGTGTGACAATCTCGAGCTCCATCCACATCTCTGTAAATGGCACTATTTCACTCATTTTTATGGCTGAGTAAAATTCCATTTTATATATGTACCATGTCTTCTTTATCCATTCCTCTATTGATGGACATTTAGGTTGCTTTCATATCCTGGCTATTGTAAATAGTGCTGCTATAAACATTGGGGTACATGTACCTTTTTTAATTGTGCTTTTTTCTGGATATATGCCCAGGAGTGGGATTGCTGGATCATACAGTAATTCTACTTTTAATATTTTAAGGAGCCTCCATTCTTTTCTCCATAGTGACTGCACTGATTTAAATTCCCACCAACAATATAGGAGTGTTCCCTTTTCTCCACATCCCCTCCAGCATTTATTGTTTGTAGAATTTTTTTGATGATGGTCATTCTGATCAGTGTGAGGAGATACCTCCTTGTAGTTTTGATTTGCATTTCTCTAAAAACAGAAGTGACAGGGTTAAGCTTTCATTTTTGGGGAGGTTATTTAGATGTCAGCCTGGAAGAGGATCGCTGAGAGGGAGGTGAATTTGAGGGCATTGTGGTAACCCAGTTGAGAAATGAGGAGGGATTGAAAGAAGGCAAAGGGGAAGGGGAAAAGGCGATGCATTGGGACCCAAAGAAAATAAGTTCAGCAGCTCTGGTTACCGACTGGACATGGGGAAAGACCTCAGTAACTACGGGAGAAGGCAGTGGAGGCCGACCG